CAGATATTTGCAAAATGTGATCACCTTAGCAGGCAGAAAATATTCTAATATTCTAAAAACATAAATCTCATGTATCACACATTTCATCAAGCAACTAGTCTCACTTAAGGACAGAAAATTGACATATCTAAACCTGGAGAAGAAACAGGAGCAAACCAAAATGTTCCCCAGTGACATCTGTTTTTTTTTTTTTCAAGAAAAAAAAAAGTAAAGAGAATGAACAGAAGAATGGTGACTGAAAGATCAACCGTGGTTAAACAACAGAAAAGATCAATGTAATTACCATGGTCGAATATCACTTCCATTTGCTCTCAATATGTTCTCTCGCAGAGCCAAACCAGTGTAAAGGAACAAGAGCCATGCCTGACAAGCAAATTCTCTATGTAAATTGCATAAATAACACTTTGCATGTATCCAATATATATACACATGCAAACACACTATAATATTGAGTTGACCAAACATTTAACTGGGAGTGACAAGAAGTAGTTAGTACGTACTTGATAGAGCTGAACTGGAAATGCTGGCAAGCACGCATCCCATACCCAAGATCTTAGAATAAGAAGGCTTGCTGGAAAAAGAAGGAACAGAAGTGCAGTTCTATCCTGCTCCAAGGAGATGGTAGTGTTAGCATCAGTTTGGCTGAGATAGCAGTTCGCATTCTTCTTATAGGTAGAGTTCAATTCACAAGGACGATTATAATGAAAACTCAATTCTTAGGATTGAGTGGATGAGGGCTGAGTCAAGTTATAAGATAAGCTTCCTACATAGATGATATTATTGTGTGTTGCGCCAAGACAATCATATCTAAAGAGGAGAAAATATGTATCATTTAAGATAAATCATTTTTTTATGTAGAAAATAAGCGTTCTTAGATAGAAAAACAGTAATATAGTAAAGAAGAACTAGATATCCTCCCAAAAAAGAGAAGTGCGAACAGAGAGAAAGGCCAACATCATCCGATGGAGGATAGCCAGCTAATCAATATGCAAAGAAAAGAAAGAATAACCTTATTTAAAAAAAAAAAAAATGAATTTAAGACGTGTAAAGTGAGATTCACAAATAGAGCTGTGGGTTCTAGTCTAACAGAATATGTTCTGTAGATAAAATTCTGAAAGCATAATGTTTAATGAACAAATATCCCACTTTAAGCAAGCGGGTAATGATGCTAAAGCTAATAATGACACTTTCAAAAAAAAAAAAAAAAAAGAGAATATGGCGAGCAGGTAAGATAAAACAACAGCAAACTGCATGGTAAAAGAAATTAGAAGAAGTGACACGCATTGGAAGTGAATAAGGGAAACGAATAGGAGTTTAAGAAGAAGAAGCAGTACTCTGTAACTGTTGTACTCCTCTTTAACCTTGAGCTGAACATCTTTGCGAGAAGCTCGCACATTTATAGGCCCCAAAAACATTCTGAGGAAGCGTCCTGGTAAATTAAACGACACGACTATCATCCTCATTGTCAATATTTATGAAGAAAAACGAGAACAAAGTCATTAATTATCAGCTACAATGTCCCGAGGGTACAGAAATATACTACTTTGCAAAAAAAATTAGAAATTAAAATGATAAATCTAGTAGAGGTAATTTCAATTGTTGGATGAATAATATGAGAAAAGATGAATAAATTATTTCTTAGAAAAAGAAATAGAAAAGCAAAAGAAAGAGGTAAAGAATACCCTGTGTTTTGGCAGGAAGAAAAGCCGCGGCATCTCCATCAGCCACCATGCATCTGGCTCTTTGCAAATCTTCCTCCAGCTGCACCTCTCCGGAATTGATAATTAGCAAAGTATGAAAGAACGAGATTAAGAAAACGACGGAAAGAGAGAAAAAAGAAGCATACCCTGTCAGCGAGCTTGGGATCCAAAAGCTTGTTGGCGAGAAGGGAATGAATAGAGGAACGGAGGCGCCGAATGGAGGAGTCAAGAGAAAGAGCCCTCTGGCGAAGAGATTGCTCTTCGCTGGAGGACCTGGATATCAACGAGGCAGCTGATTCCTGCAACTCCTTCGCCTGCTCCACCAATCTCCTCACTTCTTCCTCTACCTTGTTAGCAGAATCCTCCATTGATTTAGCGAATAAAAGTATCGAACTCGATCGCCGAATCGGCTCCGGCCAATTGGATTCAATTGATTACTCCCTGCTTTATATCTAAGCTAACAGGAAATAGCACAACCACTCAATCAGTCCTTGAATATTGTCTTCGAATTCCTAATTCCACCTTTGATGATGGAATTCCAGCGAGCCAAACACTAAAGACATAAGCGAAGAGGAAGAGCAGAATGAGAACGGCGAATCAGCTGTTTTGGTGCGTATATATAAAAATTAAATGTAAATATAATTACGATGGCTGTGCTTTCGTTGTCTTTTTGGGAACGTAACCCTTCCCGATGGTCGCCGCAGGTCGCAGAGCCTACCTATGCCATTATATTCTGTATGGTCTCAACTCTACCATACAATCCCTTTCATTGTGGTTCTCTATTTTATTCTCGTATTTTTTTTTTGCTATATATTTAATAGCAAACGAGGCTATTTTTTAGAATTTATTTAATTCAAATATAGAAAATAATTTTTAAATAAATGAAATTTACATTTTCTAAAATGCATTAATGTTAATGAAACTTTATTTTTATCAAATTCAATTTATTAATTTTAACAAATATATATATTTATAAGGTAGTTAAAATAAGTTTTAGATCAACTTTGATTTTAATGCAATTTTTAATTCTACTATTTTAATTTTGGTATACTTTTAAATTTGGCAGGTAATATAATTTTTAATATAAATAAATAGTAAAACTTCTAAATATAATGATTAAAATTAATTAACTTTCAGATTACTATGATCTTAATTTTAATACATTATAAAATATTAATCAAATTTGTATGCCACTTAATTGGTATATGAATTTCATCCGTATTATTCAGAGTTAAAGAGGAATATATATAATTAGAGAGTTTGAGTTCTACTCACATCAATAATTCAAATATATAATAAATGATCAATAGGTAATAAATAATTGGTGATAATGATTATAATTATGC